TTAGCTACTCAAGAGACTGAGATCAGTTTGAAGCAAGCCTGGGCAGGAAAATCTGTGAGACTCTTATTTCCAATTAGCCACCATAAAGTCAGAAGTAGAGCTATGGCTCAAGTTGTAGAACCCCTAGCCTTAATCAAACATGCTGAGGGACAATGCACAGGACCTGAGATCAAGCCCCAGTACTGGCACCCACACCCACACCCCACACCCACACACATACACACAAAAAGAAAGCAAGAAAGAAAATGACAAAAAAAAGTTAAGACTGGCTAGATGACAGTGGCTCACATCTATCTAACCTAGTTACCTATCCTAACTAGTTGGAAGCAGAGATCGTTGGGATTTTAATTTAACGCTAGCATATGGGAGGATTAAAGGAGGCTAAGAGATTCATTTTCAACAAAGGGCTAGGTACAGTGGCGGGCACCTGCTATCCTAACTACTAGGAAGCCTAATATAGGTGTACCGCCCATACGCAAGTACCTTACCTGAAAAATAACCAGCAATACTCAGGTCTAAAGGTATGGCTAAATAGTAAGAGTGCCAGCTTAAGTAGTACAACAACCTGAGGTCAAAAACCACAATACTGAAAATAAAATACTGGATTTCTCATATACCATATAATTTTCAAATTCTGTATGTAGGAACTTACAAATTACCATACTAGTAAACCCATAGCATGAATACAATTATCTATGCTTCCTTAAACATGAACGAACACAGCTCACTCAGTTTTCAAGGTATGAAGTATAAAAGTAGTTAGTTCTTCCAAAGACTAAAATTGCTGAGCATGGGCTATATTCTTTCTAAGATATGCCAGCAATTTCTAGTGTACACCTTTTCTCTCACTCTTTCCTCTGTAGTCCTATAACCCTTTCCTAAATTATAAATGTTTTACTATTAGGATAATTACAAAACCAGAGACAAACAAAGGAAAAGGTGGGACAAGACATAAAGACAAATATTGAGGCTGGGAATGTGGCTTAGTGGTAGAGTGCTTGCCTAGCATGCATGAAGCCCTGGGTTCAATTCCTAGTACCACATAAACAAAAAGCTGGAAATGGTACTGTGGCTCAAGTGGTAGAGTGCTAGTTTTGAACAAAAGAAGCTCAGGGATAGTGCCCAGGCCCTGAGTTCAAGCCACAGGACTGGCAAACAAAAACGAAAACAAAAAAACAGGCACATATTGAGTTCATTAAAAAACAAACTTTTAAACTGGGACAGTGGTTCACCATTATAATCCTACCTACTCAGGAAGTGGAGATGGGGCAGATTGTGTTTTAAGGCCAGCCTGGGCAGAAAAGTTCAAAAGGCTCTGTTCTCAATCAGTAGCTGGGTATTATGTAGTATGCCTGTCATCCATACCATACAAATAAATGGGATAAATAGAAGGATCACAGTCCAGACCGGCCCAGGCATAAATCCATGAACCTATTGGAAAACTGGCTGAAGCAAAATGAAGTATGTGTGGTTCAAATGGTAACAACTTTTCTAGCAAGATCATGGTCCTGAAATGAAATACCCTAGAGTAAAGTATCCCCCACCAAAACAAAAGCAAGTAATTTTGATAAAGCCACATAACTCATAACTGTATGTAGACAAATTTTGAAGTCTTGCTGAGATAATATCATGCATTTATTTTTAGTTTTTAGGTTCCCATAAAGATTACTAGGCAACTGGCACATTTCTTAGTGTAATAATTTTTTTTTTCTGTTGGCTGTGGGGCCTGAACTCTGGGCCTGGGCGCTGTCCCTCACCTCTTTAGCTCAAGCCTAGCACTCTACCACTTGAGCCACAGCACCACTTCTGGCTTTTTCTGCCTATGTGGTGCTGAGGAATCAAACCCAGGGCCACATGTATGCAAGGCAAGCACCTTACCACTGAGCCACCTTCCCAGCCCCTGTGTGTAATAATTTCTTTTGCCTTATTTCCATTAGCAACAGCTGAGGAAAACAAAGGAACAACAACAACAACAACAAAAATCCCGTTCTTTTCTATTTTACTTTTTTTGCCAGTCCTGGGGCTTGAACTCAGGGTCTGGGCACTTCCCTGCCTTCCAGCTTTTTCTGAGTAGTTCATTGGTGGACTGTCCTACCCTTGGCTGGTTTCAAACCACCTCCTGTCTAGCTAGGTTTATGGGCATGAGCCACCTATATGGCTCTATTTTACTATTTAAGAACTAAAAATGAACAACCAACAACTTTCATTTTACATTTTCCTTAAAAGGAAAAAGAAATCTCACTAGTATATTTGTCTATTAAAAAGGGCTGGGGATATAACTCAGTGGTAGAGTGTTTGCCTAGTTTACTTGAGGTCCTAAGGCTCTACATTCTATCCCCAGCAATGGGGGTAGAAGGAGTAGGTAGGTAGAATAAGTTAGGGGCAATGACCTGTTTGTCCATTCCATGAATTTCATACATTTGGAAACACAAAGAGATTTAAGTGCTCAAGTGTAAATTCAAATATAAATAACTAATAAGGCGAGGTCCTGAATTTAAACTCTAATACTGTAAAAACCAAGAACCACCACCACCAAAAAAACAAAAACAAACAAAAAAAACCTCCAGCTGTGGGGCACTGGTGGCTCATGCCTATAATCCTAGTTACTCAGGAGGCTAAAATCTGAGGATCACAGTTTGAAGCCAGCCTGTGAGATACCTATGTCCAATTAACTATCAAAAAAGCCAAAGTGGGGCTGTGACTAAGGTGCTAGAGCACTAGCCTTGAGCAAAAAAAAATAAAAAAACAACTCAGGGACAGTACACGGACTCTGAGACCAAACCTCAGAATCAGTACAAGAAAAGCAAAACAAAAATAAACAAAAAAACAGCAATACAACTACTGATTAAGGGCCTTCATGCACTCAAAGTATGTATTCGATGTGCCTTATGATTAGAGAAACATATTCATTTCTAGGAAAGAAAGCAAGCAAAAGATTTCTGTGGCTGAAGATAAAAATGCAACCAAAGGCTACAATGCTTGATAAGAAATGTACTCATTATCTTGCCCATGTAATTGTAATCCCTCTGTACAGTATTTTCACAATAAAAAAAATAAAAATTAAAACCAAAAGAGGGTAATATCAAGCTTGAAAGATTTAAAATATACACATATACACAGAGAATTTTAATGCAAAAAGATATGCCTTCAAGTTGGGACATTAAACACAAATCAACAAAAATATTAAGTAGATGTATGTGTGTGACTGTAATATTTTGATTAATGTTTGAAGACACTGACTAAAATGTGACTATGCTGACTGACTAATAACAATACTTAATAGAGTATTTAAGTAGATTATTTCAAATTGGAGTTTGCCTGTCCCATGCTTATTTCCAGGCAATATTCCACAATACACATTCAAGACCTTCTTAATCACTCAGACTTGGAACATCTCTGAGAGAACAGCAGTAGGTGGTAATGAGTTCTGTAGAGATCATTAATATGACATTACAACTAATATGTCTAAATGGGAATATATTATGCATATCTGAATGAGATGATTGAGATAATCATCAGCCAGAGACTATCATAATTTCTAAGAGAAAAATACATCACAACAAAGCATCAAATTTTAGCATAATTCAAATTTAACAATTTTCAAAGGGCTCAAAATTCATCCAGCTATTATTAGTAACCTTAATACTTAAGAACACTTTCTTCAACATATTTACACATATTTACATTTATATATGTGAATACACCTAAAATGAGGTCAATAGTTTATTATTCTGAAATCTCTTCCATTGAATCATTCCTATCTCATTTATAAATTAGGCTCTAAGCAATATTATCACCCAGCTATCTGTGAGTAAAAGTAAGCACCTTCTATTCCTTCATAATTTTGCTTTTAACTATTTTAATTTGATGGACTCTCAAAATTCAGCTAATTTTAAAGAATTAAAAATTCATTGGGGCTGGGTGCTGGTGGCTCACACCTGTACTCCTAACTATTCAGGAGGCTGAGATCTGAGGATTGCAGTTGGAAGCCAGCCAAGACAGGAAAGTCCATGAAACGCATCTCCAAGTTAACCACTCAAAAACCTCAAGTGGAGCTGTGGCTCAAAGTGATAGAACACTAGTCTTGAAAAAAAGGAGCTCAGGGACAGCACCCAGGCCCAGAGTTCAAGCCCCAGGATAGGTCCCCACCTCCCAAAAAATGTTGATTCTGAATCACTGATATTTAAATTGACGCAGGAATGAAATTAAAGCCTTGTCAAAATTAGGTGATTCCTTTTTTTATTATAGCTTTCTCCTCCTAAAATGTTTTGATTTCTACTGCAGTTACTGTGGTTTGAACTCAGGAACCTGTACTTACTAGGGTATGGCTCTACCATTTGAACTGTGACCCCAGCAGTTTCTATTTTTAACACAAGAAAGTAAACTCTTAGCAGAGTATAATAACCACAGTCTTCTCAAGTACTGACAGATTTACAGTCAAGTAAATCTGATTTAATTAAATAATTTAAGTCAACACTCTCTAAGGCTCATTCAATTCATGCAGTATTATGAAAGATGAATATACCTGTTATATATTTAGATATACTCTGAATAAGAGGCAGTCATCTCAAACAACATTGTTTGTTTGAAATGTTTATGTACTCATCCTTATTGCCTGAATTAAGAAAGTGTGTTCAGCATTTAACTATGAAAGTTCCATAGTGAAAACATAAAGGATTATTTGTGTAATGATAAGGCTTTCATAGGAATGCAACTTCTTTTGAGTTCTTTAAGAAGACTGGCATCAAAAGAGAGAGAGAGAGAGAAACTGGCATCATCTGTGTTCTGAATGTGACAACAATACATGGAAATAGCAATAAAAATTTGGATTTACAAAATTATGGAAAGAGAAACAACACATCTGTTTTGTTTTTGTTTTTGTTTTTTTTTGAGGCTGAGACAGCTGATAGAATATAAAGAAAGTGGCTGCAGAAAAAGAGGATCTCGTCAGAGGTTAGTGAACACATGAACAATTGTACTTCATGCTCCCTATCTCTTACCTGAGGAGGAGTAGGTGTGGACGTGGGTCTCCCTATGGGTGGAGTGGGATTCCTGCTGCCACCTCCAGACATAATTTCCTCTGTTATATCTTTACCTCCCTGGTTTGGATCTCGAATTCTTATCTAGAATGTTAAATAAAATGATAGATGTACAGATGGGTTGTCTACATAGAATTACAGGCATATGATGAGTTAAAGTGAAAACTGAGACGTGTCAACTATCAAAGCTGATAATCAGCAAGTATGACTGTTTCAATCACAAGCATATGAGGTCATTCAAAGAAATTAAGCCATCAACTCAACTCTAAAACCAATTAGAATAACTAAAATGTGACCCACTTAAGCTGAATTTCTAGATCAAAAAGGCAAAATATTTCTACATGGTCACCATCAGATACCCTGATTTTATCTGAAAAAGCTTTATATGAAACAAAGTTCATAAGATAGTCTTAATATTAAAAACTCAAAGTTTTAAATGCCCCAAATGGTCCTATGGGATTAAAAAAAAAAGTACAATCACTATAATTTAGACACAGGAATCTGCCCGGCAAATAGCTTTATACTTTTATCTACATATGCTCACTGTAATATTTTTTTCCCCTAGGAAAGACACAGAAACATTATAACAGGTCAATCAAGAAGAATAGTTCAAAATTATCCTATATCGTTACAATTAAATAGCAAACAGCCAGTAAACAGAATGACGTAGATTTATATATACTACCACATGAAATAAATTTAAGATACAGAATAGTGTGTATCGTCTTCTCCATTTGGGAAACGGTATATCGGGGCTTGAGCTTAAGGCCATGTGCTTGTTGAGCCACACATCCAACCTATTTTGCTCTAGTTGTATCTGAGATAGGACTTGATCAAACTACAACCCTCATATTTATACTTCTCTACCTTAGCTGAGATGTCAGGCACATGCCATCAATGCCCAGCTCTTTCTGCTGAGATAGGATTATACAACATTTTTGCCAACTGTGAAGCTAAACCACATTTCTCCGAATTTCCACCTTCCAAAAGATAGGATTACAGGGGGCTGGGAAGGTGGCACAGTGGTAGAGTGTTTGTCTTCCATGCACGTGGTCCTGGGTTCAACTCCTCAGCACCACATAAGCAGAAAAAGCTAGAAGTGACACTGTGGCTCAAGTGGTAGAGTACTAGCCTTGAGCTGAAGAGCTGAGGAACAGTGCCCAGGCCCAGAGTTCAGGACCCAAGACTGGCAAAAACTAAAATAAAATAAAAAGGATTACAGATGAGAGCCACCTCTCCAGTTCCTAATTTTCATTTTCTTAAGGTTACCTATTCTAATAGATATCAGTGGGTATGGTGCTGTATAATGAGAATGGAGTTTATCAGTCTAGGAGCTCACTACCTAAATAGCTTAAGTAATGAGTATAAGGGATTTTGGATTCTTGAAAATTTCTGAGAATTCAGAGACTTGGAATAGTTCTTCAATTAAGATATCTACATTGAATATCTTGTTTCCTTCACAGTCTATAAGTATTATTTAAGTACTTCTTTAAGTTCTATTTCTTTCTATTATCTACTATTTTGCTATTACTATCTTCCATTTCCATTATCACCTCTGTTCATTTTTCTGCTCTGTTAAAGTGCTGTCAAAAGTGCTGCTCAGGTCCAAGCCTACCATGTGTACTCAGCAACTCCAAAGCAGTCTCTTGACAACAATGTAACAATGCACAGGTATATCTTCTTTATTATATGTACATAGTGTGTTTCTAATAACAAAGTCCACATTTGAATCTCATTAATTTTTAATAACTCAGAGCACATCAAGATGAGTATGTCACTCCATCCTAAGACATCTATGTGAATGTGGGAGTCTGTCTTGCTTATGAACATCACTCATTCTGTGTCTTACGATAGATAACACTGCAAGCTACTCTTCTGTAAAATGTTCTGAAATCTGAATTTGTTAATACTACAATACTCTTTAAGCATAGATTGCTATGCTAAAGCCCTTGTAACTTATTTGCTAAAACCAGAATACATTTAGTCAACTCTGCTTTCACTTTTTAAGTCTATTCCACAAAAAACATTCATACTTGGAGATCCAATTAGAACTGGTGGTAAAGTAAAGATGTGAGAAATGACTTGAAATACCTCCCACTGAATGAGACACACTAAACCACCTACTTCTATTGCTGGCATGCACATTGTCATATAGTGCACCTACCTCAGTGAATGGCAAAATGCAATATTAAGAAAACAGTATATTCAATTTCTAGTGCTATGCCCATATCAGAACCCCAGGTTAAAGTAAGTGGTGATGATACAGGGAAATAATTACAAATGGCCCAGTCATTTGTAAACTAAGATGAATAAACTTATTTGATAAGTGAATGGACATTCCAATTCAAGAAAAATCAATGAAGATCTCTTACAGTTTTTTTCTCTCTCTTGGCTGGAGGGGGCTGTTGCTGTGTAGGCACTATGATAGGTGCTGACTGATACACTGGCTGACTTGGGTAAAAAGGCGTTCCTAAAGAATTAGAACAAAATGAAAACAAGCATTCAGTTATTTTGTCAAACACTATAGGACTATTAATGGCAGAGTTTCTAGATAATTCCTTTTAAAATTAAAAAAACTAATAATAATTATCTCCTCTCTCTTCCTGCTGCTAATGTGGTTCAGAAATTATTCCAAATTATATAATGTCTTCAAATAGTCATAAAATTCAATACAGAAACAACTAAGTACTTAGTTACAGACTGATGCCAGACCTGTCTTCCTAACCAAGAACTGTGCTATACTATGACTTTAAGAAAAACAATCTTATTCTGAGAGCCCACCACCTACAGCAATGAGTCTTAAGGAAGGAATTGTGGTGTCCTTTTCAAAGGCAGAGGGAAATATATCTATTGATCATCATGATTAGTCTAATTCTTATTTATGGAGAATAACTGCCACAGGGAGTAACATAAAGCTTAAGAAATGTCCTAATGTTGAGATTTATAAAAAACTTGAGTACAAGGAAGTCTAAAACTAAGTCCAAATACTAAAGTACATTTTCTAACACTTCTGCTGTATTCTAGTCGTAGCCTTTTTCTAGTGCTTTATCTTGAGTATACCAATCTCAATCAGATTGAAGGAAATTAATGTTTTGCTGTTGTTCATGTACTATTTTGTTTAACTACCTCAAATATGTTCTTACCCAACCCCCTGTACTTCAAAGGAACTCTCTGACATTCAAAATTTAGACTCAATTTCTGATAATAAAATCAGAATGCATACTGTAGAAATGGGGAGAAAAGGTCAGATACTGCATATTTTGAAAGAAGATCCTAAAAATTTGCTAGCGGTACAAAAGAAGATTCAGGAAAACTATTGTTTGCCTCCCCCCCCTCCACCAGAGCAAGTGAACAAAGTGAAGCAAAACAAGAAAGAAGAGTTTGGGACAGAAAAATCAAGGTTCAATTTTAGATAAAGTTTAAGATGCTTACTATACACCTTCAAATGAAGACCTATTAGGAATAGTAGAATATGGACAATTTCTAAATCACAAGACTGTGTAACTCAGGAAATGAGCACAGGCAGAATCAAAACCTGAAATGAAATCCTTGTTAGAAATCACTGAAAGGGGGAAAGGGAAACAAAGGAGGAGGCTACAATGCTTGATAAGAAATGTACTCATTATCTTGCCCATGTAATTGTAACCCCTCTGTACAGTATTTCCACAATTAAAAAAAAAAAAAAGAAATCACTGAAAGGGAAAAAAAAAGAGAGAGATGGGAGGTAAAACCAAAACAATGGCTGAAGTGAAGAAAACTGCTGTACAATGAGGGAGTGCTTAACTTTGTTGGATTAAGTTGAATGATAAAGACTTGTCCAAGAAGAAATGATAGGCGATCTTAACATGTTGTCGGGAGAAGTGGCAGATTCAAAAGACTGCAATAGTGAAAGAGAATGAAACCGTGAGAACAGATAAATTCTATTCAGAATGGGGTAAGGTCCATACAGTGGAGCTAAACAACTTTTTTTAAAGTTTTTCTATAAGTAGGAAACAGAAATAAGGTTATAATTAGGCAAGATGGAGTATAAATTTTTTTCAAGCACAAGAATAAAACATTTCCTTTTATACTACTAATAGACTTAATCTAAGAAACAGCTTTAAAAGGAGTGACAATGTGAGAAAACTGAAAAAGAGAACAGTTAACTGTTAGGGATAATGGCATTAATATGTGCCAGGATGGGATGGGATGCACACAGGAAGAACTGGCCTTTGATAAGAGGCTGAATAAGTGACTAAAGATAACAATGAGAAATGTGTATGAATGTAGTAGATCATCATCAATCTCCCTACCCCCAATTTGGTAATCTTTGAGTGGAACTGTCTATGAAGAAGCATCATTTGCTATATGAAAATTCTGCAGATACCAATCAGGTCTGCTGAGTCTGATTTAGAAAAGATCTAAGTCAGACATGACTAATATTTCAAATTTCAATATAAAATATAAAACCAAACAAAAAGCCTTAATAAATCCTCCAGTAAAGTCAACTATTCCCAAAGCAGAGTTCAAATTACCAATTCTATGCTATACTATTATGTCATTTGTTCCTAAACTGAGAAAACAAACCCCCTAAAATTAGTTTCAAATGCTGCCAGATAAGCAACACAATCTGCTCACCCTTGCCATATTTTTCAAGCTAAGAGAAATAGGATCCAAAAGGTGACCTATCTCCTTTAAAAAATAATTCGTCACATGGAACATTTTGGAGCCAACTAATTGGAAAAAAGGCTTGTATATCACATACATCCAATAAAATGCTACTCTTCATACACCTGCAATACAGGGTAAAAAGTTAACTCATAAAACATTACATCTTCCCATTTGTGGGCATTATGAGAGGAAGAACATCAGCTGTATTAAAAAATAGCTTTCATTTACAATCTAATCAAAATTCTGATACAGTCAAGAATACTTGAAAGTATTTTTCATTCTAGTAGAATGTAATCCTATTTATTCAGTAGGCTGAGATCTGAGGCTTGCAATGTGAAGCCAGTCAGGACAGGAGACTCCTATCTCTAATTGACAAGCAAAAAGCCAGAAGTAGAACTGTGATTCAAGTGATAGAGCACTATCCTTGACCAAAAAAATTGAGGGATAGTGCCTAGACCCTGAGTTCAAGTCCTAGGACCAGCACACGAAAAAAAAAAAACAAAAAACTCTGGACCTGGGCACTGTCCCTCAGCATTTCAGCTCAAAGCTAGTGCTCTACCACTTGAGCCACTTCTGGTTTTCTGGTGGTTTATTGGAGATAAAAGTCTCATGGACTTTCATGCCTGGGCTAGCTTTGAACCGCAATCCTCAGATCCTCAGATCTCAGCCTCCTGAGTAGCTAGGATTACAGGCGTGAGCCACTGGCACCTGGCTCTCAGGTCTTTTAATGCATGAGGTAAACATATGTTTGTTTAGATTGGTAGGTCATCAACTACAGTCAAGGGGCAAAATTCAGCCTATCACTATTTCTTTAATAAATATTTTACTGAAAAGTAGCCCTTTATGTAGTTAATCTACTACCTATGGCTGCTAGAATACTGTAATGGCAGAGTTGAATAGGTGTAGTAGATCATACTGCTGATCCAATTTGTGCCAGTGTTTCTCAAAGCCCAGCCTATATAAAAGGTTAGTGGTAAAATTTATGCATTAACCATGAAACATACACACACTCCAATACATTTCCCAACTTGAATGTTTTATAAAGCACTCTTCCTATTTTTAAATTATTTGGGTCTCTTTTGTTGTAAAATAGCCTTCATATATATATATATATATACACACACACACACACACACACACACACACACACACACACACACACACACACACACACACATACATATTATAGTAAATGGCAGTTCTCCTTAAAGGTCTTATTGCTAAAAATTTTAAAATGTAATACCAGTGTTTCTTGTTTTATCTTACTTTTTATTAATTTACTTGCCTATGATTATGAAAGATTTAGAATATTTAAGGTTTCTTCTCATTGATAAAACTCCAAGCAAGGGGCTGGGAAGTTGGCTCGGTAGAGTGCTTGCCTTGCATGCATGAGGCCCTGAGTTCAATTCCTCAGCACCACATAAGCAGAAAAAAGCTGGAAGTGGTGCTGTGGCTCAAGTGGTAGGGTGCCCAGGCCCAGAGTTCAAGCCCCACGACCGACAAGCAAAGGAAGGAAGGAAGGAAGGAAGGAAGGAAGGAAGGAAGGAAGGAAGGAAGGAAGGAAGGAAGGAAGGGAAAATAAAGAAAAGATAGCTTCTTCAACAAATGGTATTAGGAAACTAGTATAAAAATACATAAATAAAACTCCAAGCAAAAATCTACTACATTCTACAAACTAGTAAAATGTCACACACACTACAAAGACAGGGATAGTGATCAGATATACAGGTTGGCACAAAAATTTTAATTTTATCCAACAATATACAACCATATACAACTATATACAACCTTATACAACAATATACAACTAAATATGAGCCACACCTCTACTTCCAACTAATTTTTAGACTTGTCCACCTAGGCTAACTTCAAACTTGGATCCTCAGATCATTCATTGTACTCTCAGACTCATAGAACTGTAACTTATATAACCTGACTTATAGAACTGTAACTTTACTGTAAAAAATTTTGAACCCTGTAATAAAAATTAAAATCCTAGATCTAATGATAATGAGAAAATAACAGAATCTCTGGAATACGAAACTGCAGCACTAGAGGAAAGTCTATAGCTATAAACACATTAAAAAATAAACAAAAACCCCAACTACCTCAGAGTTCAGGCCCTAGTGTCAAACGACTGTAATCCTAGCTACTCAGGCAGCAAAGATACCAGCCCAGGCAGAAAGGTCCAAGAGACTTATCTCCAAAAAACTAGCAGAAAGCCAAGCTGTAGGCATGGCTCAAGTGGTAGAGTACTAGCCAAATAAGATCAAACTCCAGTACCAGCAAAAAAAATAAAGATAAAATAAAAAGCTTAATGATGAGCCACAAGTTCCTAGGACAAAAACAACAAGCCAAGGTGGGCACTGGTGGCTCATGCCTATAATCCTAACTACTCAATAGCCTGAGAGCTGAGGATGGCTGTTCAAAACCAGCCTGGGCAGGAAAGTTTATGAGATTCTTATCTTCAATTAACCTCCAGAAGAAAGGAAGTGGTTCTATGGCTCAAAGTGGAAGAGTACTAACCCTGAGCAAAAGAGCTCAGGGAGAGTACCCAGCTGAAGTGCAAGCCCTACAACCAATCAAAAAAAAATATTTTTAAAGAAAAAGATTTACAGGGCATTAGCCAAACTAACAAAAAGAAGCTCAAATAAATTAAGTTACAATGAAAAAGCTGATATTGTAAACTATACAAATGAAATCTAGAGGATCATTAGAAAATATTTGAAGACAAATTCTAATTCTAGATGCATTTGATCTATCAAATTTAAACCAAAAGAATATATAAACCACTTACTTCAACAGACCTATAACAAGCAATGGAATTAAAGAGACAATCTAGTCTCCCAACAAAGAAGAGCATAGAACACTTTTGAATTCCAGCAGGCCTTTAAAGAACTAACAACAATGCTCCTGAAACTTGTCTCATGAAATAAAAAGGTTAGAATACTGCTAAATTAATTCTATAATGTCAGTATTACCCTGAACAAGCACACACAAACAAAAATGACTAGAAAAAGCATGAAACAATTTCTTTGATGAACAAAGATAAAATCCTCAAGAAAATATTTACTAAAAGAATTCCACAACCCTAATTTAAAAGATTATAATGGGGCTGGGAAGGTGGCTCAGTGGTAGAGCTCTTGGCTTGTACGCATGAGGCCCTGGGTTGGATTCCTCAGCACCACATAAGCAAAAAGAAAAAAAAAGCCGGAAGTGGTGCTATGGCTCAAGCGGTAGAGTGCTAGCCTTGAGCTGAAGAGCTACTGCACCCCAGCCCAGAGTTCAGGCCCCGCGACCGGACCAAAAAAAAAAAAAAAAAAAGGTTATAATAACGCAAACTTGATTTTGTTGAAGAGATGCAAGGCCAGTTCAACATATACAAAATTAATGACTAATATACCACCATAAACTGAAATCAAGGACAAAAAAAAATCACACAATCATCTCAATAGGTGTTAACCTTTTACAAAATTCAAAATGGTTTCCTGATAAAAGCTCTGAAGAAACTAAGAATAGAAGGAAAGTACCACAACACAAGAAAGGCTATCAATGACAAACCTATAGCCAACATCATATGAAATGGGCAAAAACTGAAATCATTTCCTCTAAAGTCAGGAATGAGACAGAAAGCAATCAGTCTCCCCACTTTTACTCAACTTATTATTGGAATTCCTAGCCACAGCAATTTAAAGAAGAGAAAGAAATAAAAGGAATTCAACTAGAGAAGGGAGTCAAATTATCCCTTTTTGAAAGTGGTATGATTTAATATAAAGATTCCACAAGCCGGGCGTTGGTGGCTTACGCATGTAATCCTAGCTACTCAGGAGGCTGAGATCAGAGGAGCACAATTCAAAGCCAGCCCAGGCAGGAAAGTTTGTGAGACTCTTATCTCCAATAAACCACTAGAAAACCGGAAGTGGCGCTGTGGCTCAAGCGGCAGAGCGCTTGCCTTGAGCTGAAGAGCACAGGGACAGTGCCCAAACCCAGAATTCAAGCCCCATGACCAACCAAAAAAAAAAAATCCACAAAAAATCCTAATTCTTATTGATAAACATTCTTAGAACTATTACAGACTATAGAACATAGTAACACAATAATCAGTACCTTTTCTATACACCCATCCCCCAAAAGCTATTTACAATAGCTGTAATAAATCACCCTAAGAATAAACTTAACTGAGGGGGTGAAAAACCTCTACAATGAAACCTATAAAAGGCTGCAGAAAATTAAAGAATATATCAGAAAAATGAAAGATTTCCCATATTCAGTTTGATATTACTAATATTGTGAAATGTTTATAGTACCAAAATCTATCTATAGAATCAATTCCCATCAAAATCCTTTCATTCTTCATAGAAAGAGAAAAACAAATATTCATATGAAAACATAAATGATCTCAAATAACAAAAGTAATTCTTATCAAAAAGTCACAGAAGGGGTTGGGAAGGTGGCTCAGCGGTAGAGCGCTTGCCTTGCATGCATGAGGCCCTGGGTTCGATTCCTCAGCAACACATAAGCAAAAAGAAAAAAACCGGAAGTGATGCTGTGGCTCAAGTGGTAGAGTGCTAGCCTTGAGCTGAAGAGCTGAGGGACAGTGCCCAGGCCCAGAGTTCAGGCCCCACGACCAGACCCCCACCCACCCCCCCAAAAAAAAGTCACAGAATTAAATGTATACATCTACAGTTATCCGACTTTTGACAAAGAATTCAAAACTAATACATTAGAGAAGAGGTAGCCTCTTAAATATATGGTGCTGATTAAAATATTTATCTACATTCACAAGACTAAACCTATGTTACCTGTACAAAAGGAACTACAAATGGATAAGGATCTTAATTTGAAATCGAGACCACTAAAACTACACTGTAAGTTCTAAGCACTGACAATTATTTTCTCAATAAGACTCCAATGGCTCAGAAAATAAGAGCAAGAATTATCTAATTGGATTCTACCAAATTAAAAGGCCTTTATACCAAACACAAGAAATTTATCAAAATCAAGAAATCCATAAAATGTGAAAAATCTTTGTTAGTTTACTCAACAGGTGAAGGATCCAGAATATACTAAAAACTCAAAAATTAAGCCAGTAAAAGAACAAATAATCCAATTATTAAAATGGGCAAATGAACAGAACAGACAGTTCTTAGATAAATAAGTACAAATGGCCAACAAGTTCATGAAGAAATGTTCAACAGCCTAGTTATAAAGGAAATACAAATCGCTACAACACTGAGACTCCTCTCATCCCAGTTAGAAGCAAATGCTAGAGGGCATGCAGGAAAAAAATAACGCTTATTCACTGCAGGCAGAAATGTAAACTAGTACAACCACAATGAAAATCAGAATGAAGGTTTATCAAAAAACATAAAATAGATATGCTTTAAGACCTTGCCAAGCCGGGCGCTGGTGGCTCACGCCTGTAATCCTAGCTACTCAGGAGGCTGAGATCTGAGGATCGCGGTTCAAAGCCAGCCCGGGCAGGAGAGACCGTGAGACTCCTATCTCCAATAAACCACCAGAAAACCGGAAGTGGCGCTGTAGCTCAAGTGGTAGAGCGCTCGCCTTGAGCTGAAGAGTTGAGGGACAGCGCCCAGGCCCAGAGTTCAAGCCCCACGACCGACAAGAAAAAAAAAAAGACCTTGCCATACTGTTCTTGGGCATATATCGAAAGGAAGGCTAATCTAAAAGATACCTGCACATCCATGTTTACTGAAGAAACCAATGAGTAGATAAAGAAAATGTGGTGTATATATACCATATAGAAGTATTCAGCCATTAAGAAGATGAAATTATACAATTTGCAGAAAATGGATGGAACTAGAGATCATCAACTTGAGTGAGTTAAATATCACGTGGTTTTGCTCATATGCAGAACACAAACCTAAAATAATGCCGATGCTGATGATGCTGATGATCAGATAAAAGGGGGCCTGTCTGGAGGAGTGTCTGCCAGAAGAGGAAGAGGGGAAAAGGAGAGAGTACAAGGGGTAAAGAGAATTTATATAAGTTACACACGTATCAAGAGAGTAAAATGGAACCTACCAGGCAGTGTTTGAAAGGGGGAGGGAAAAAGATTAGAGGAACATAATAGTAATAGAGGTGGCAAAATTATTCAAAGTACACTGTATATATCTATAGAATTTCCACAAGCAACTTCTCTTGTACTATTAGTGTATGCTAATTAAAATAGTGGAGGGAGGGAAAGAGAGAATAAAGAAGGGAGTAAAGGAGGAAGAGAGGGACCAAGAAAAGAACTAACCAAAGAAGGAAGAGAAAGAAAACAATGTTTTGAGGGATTCTAGTCTGAATAAATCATAAAAACCTCAAGAAAGAGACATTTTATCACAGTTTTGCAGTTAAAAATCACATTGACTAAATTATATTCAGTCATCCCATGCACATACTCTAAGTGCCTGCCAGTCATTATTTTTGGTGCTGAAGATATAGCAGTAAACAAAACAAACTCCCAGCTTTTGTGGACATTACAACCTTATAGCAGGAAAGAAAAACATTAGCAAAATCCTTCTGATGAAAAGTGAGGGTAAAGGGCTGGGAAGGTGGCTCAGTGGTAGAGCGCTTGCCTTGCATGCCAGAGGCCCTGGGTTCGATTCCTCAGCACCACATAAGCAAAAAGAAAAAAGCCGGAAGTGGTGCTGTGGCTCAAGTGGTAGAGCGCTAGCCTTGAGCTGAAGAGCTGAGGGACAGCGCCCAGGCCCAGAGTTCAGGCCCCACGACCGGACCCAAAAAAAAATAAAGAAAAGAAAAGAAAAGTGAAGGTAAATAAATGGAGAAAAAGAAATCAAGGACAAGGGATAAGGTATAATTAGCCTATTTACAAAATGCAATAAATATCCATGCCTTGATAGCATGGATGTCAGAAATCTGACTCATGGTCTCTGTCCAGCAGAATTAACAAGGAGAAAATGGGGGGGAGGGGATGATACTGTTCAAAAAGAAATGTACTCAATAGTAACTTTAACCCCTCTGCACATCACCATTAAAATAATTTTTTTAAAGAATAGCAGTTTCTAAACTAAATATATCCTTCTAATACCCTGTAAACCACTCCCTAAAAAAGGTAGCTTTCAAATTGAACATAAACTTTAAAGTTTAAACTGGCCCACCAAAAAGCACAATGAACACAACAAACTAGCAGAAGGTGCTAGACTTTATCTACTTACCATAAGCGTTGGGGAAGTCCCCAGGTCCTGGCCCAGGATAAAAAGGACCCGGCCCCGGTGGTTGAACTGGATACTGTTGAGGGGGCCCAACATAAGGAGGTCCACTATGACGGTACTAAAAGAGATAAAGAAAGTACAGACAATTGTACATGCCACGAAGTAGGTAGCTACAGAAAAATGTGAGTATTCTTCATGTAGAAAAGAGATACCATTTTAATGACATGAAGAAGGTATGGGAGTCATACACATTGAAAATGCTTGCTTGCCATCCAGATGTAATGAGCATGATCAAATGTGCCTTAAGTAAAGCCATACAACAAATCAGAACATAAGCAGTCATCAACTCTTGTAAAATGGTTACAGGCTGGTAATGTTAATGACATTAAAATGGTATCACAGGGCTGGGAATGTGGCTTAGTGGTACAGTGCTTGCCTACCATGCATGAAGCCCTGGGTTCAATTCCTCAGTACCACATAAATAGAAAGGGCTGGAAATAGCACTGCGGCTCAAGTGGCAGAGTACTAGCCTTGACCAAAAGAAACGCAGGGACAGTGCCCTGAGGTCAAGCCCCATGACTGGCAAAAAATAAAATAAAATACAGCATAAAAAGCATAAATGACTGAATCTATTCTAGAGCAGTTGATTAAATTAAAATTTAAAAAAGAATGAATATCCCTTAAAATTTTATGAAAGATGACGAAGGGGCTAGCCTTATAACCAAATTAGAATTTAGACATCATAAAGACCAGTGCCATCACCCACCCTCCCTGTTCCCTCTGAATGAAAATCTGGATCACCTCTCATTTTATTGCAGTATCACATGGGCCTTATAGATACTTTACCTGTGGTATACAGTACTGAGGACCCTGGGGCACTGGATATGGCATGGGCAGATGGTTGACCATCATGATGTGCTGATTGGCCTGGTACACTGCGGTGGGTGTCTGTGCACCAGGACGAATGGAAGGACTGCTGTTCGGGATGGTGGCTCTAGGAGGCTGTATTTGAGGCCTCTGGAAAAACTGGGAAGGGGAGAGAGAATTTTTGGTTGTTTTATGAGGGGAATATGTAAATTTTACTATCTTAGCTTTCACCTTTTTTCCACTAATAAAATCTGGTTAATCTAAATTAGAGATACAATGAACATGAAAAGAGAATGAATAAATTGCATAATGACTAAGTTCACAAAATAAACTTCACTAAGTCCAATTCTGATCAATGTCGTTGCACATTTAAAAACAGTAGGGCAGTCTAACTTTTATGACTTAGCTAATTTAAAATAAAGATCATGCACTATAGGTATTAAAAGTTCTTATTTAAAAGTTCTGTTTTAGAAAAGCAATTACTCTTTCATAAAGAAGAGATGGCTCAACATCAACAGTAAAAATTAAAAGTAGTCCCCTAAATAACTTATGTGTCATTCATAAAATATTTAGAAGAACAAGAAATCTGAGCACAAAAATTTTCATCCTACTCCATCAAGCTAAATTAAAATTATCTATAAAATTGTCATATTCTAAACTAAGATTTCATTGTCAAAAAGACAGCACAACTTCATTCTAAACTGAAATCAATTTTACTTTCTAGAACAAGCAATGAAAGTGGAGAATCTCAACAGGCCAAAAAAAAAAAAAAAAAGCTCTAAAATGAGTAGGGCCAAATCTGTCAAATGTCAACAAATACCATAAAGTTCTCACAGAAAACTTTAAACAATATGCCAACATGAATGAATTTATTCATTCAGCAAATAATCTTACTGCAATAATAAGAACACAGAAGCCATGCAGAACCAGTAGTGTGTTACCTGGATAGGTCTGAATCCTCCCTTCAATTACGAAGCAAGAAAGCAGCAGGAAAACAGGAAGAAAGCCAATGGAGAGCTTACAGATCAGTTGGAAGGAGTAGGACAGACAGCATGCAGCTCAATAAAAACTATCTTTCTATTTAGTACTAATAGGAGAAGAAAGACAACTAGAAAATCAGCACAATAATTCTCTACTTGAGAATTCAAGCACATAGGGAATCAAAATTCCAAGTATACATAATTGAAAATAAATCCAGTGACAAAAAATATCTAATAGTAGTCAGAAGTTATAGAAGCTTAAAAGGAAACATCTGCTTAGTAGCATAGGTAGTTTGGACTACTGATTCTTATTTTGGGCTCTTGTGGATACCCCTATACTATTCTCTACCTTGGACAGAGAGCGGAAATAATAAAAATGCTTGTTATTATAGTTCGCAAAAGTGCTGATAACTGAACTTTTCACTGTATGTCATACTCCTCATGAAAGAAACAAGCTCTTTTCAACTAATCATACGGCTCTACAATAGAGAGCTACAAAAATATTAAAATGTGATTTTAACTCCAATATCTCCAAAATTGTTTTACACACTCATAGAAGTGTTGCTGCTAGTACAAATAAAGCCAAGTTTTGAACTTTGGGCCGTCTCAGGTATTCTTACTTCTTCATCAAGACACTCCTTATGGATAAGTAATTTTTCACCTTGTGCTAAAGTGGGAGAACTGCAATCTGGTACCCAGGCTCATCCCCATTCAACTTTCATAGCCCAGGGCAAAGAAAGCCCTAAAGAGGCTGAGTCACAGAAAAGCAGCAGACAGAAAGCTATAAAGCAGGAGAATGGAGCTGAATGGGAAATGCAGTGGGGGAAGCCAAATAGAGAAGTTGATGGAGATGAAAAGAAAGCACAAAAGGCAAAGTTTACATCCCAGGAACCTGAGGTGGACCTCAGCTACAGAAAGAGTCTCCTACTCATCTCCTCTGACCAAGCTGTGACCAACACAATTTGTGTTGGCTACTAACAGAAGTATTTAAGAGTAAACTTCCAATCAGCAGTTTGAACTTCAATTAACACACAGCAAATATGTGGTTAATACATTAGAAACCACAAAAATATCATAAGGCCTCATGCCAGATGACACCAGTGAATCATGTCTATAATCCTAGCTACTCACAGGAGGCAGAGATCTGAAGATCCCCATTCGAGGCCAGCCCAGATAGAAAACTATGTGATTCTTATCTCCAATTAACCACCAAGTAGCCAGAAATAGAGCTGTGGTTCAAGTGGTAGAGCACTAGTCTTGAGCAAAAATCTGAGGGACAGCACTGAGGCTCTGAATTCAAGACCCAGGACTATCATACACACCAGAAAGTAACATACTTCAAAAAAAGGAGTCATTTATTTTAAAAAAAGGTGAAGAGGAGTCATTCATCTGCTCAGCGATAGCTATCAGGAGCAGTGGATTAAGTATTTATACTGTGTGATTCTTTTTCATCAACTCTCTAGGGTAGCCATAAAGAGTCAAACGGACACAAATGATAATCTGGGTTATATTACAATCAAATAATGTCAAAGCAAGCCGGGCGCTGGTGGCTCACGCCTGTAATCCTAGCTACTCAGGAGGCTGAGATCTGAGGATCACGGTTCAAAGCCAGCCCGGGCAGGAGAGACCATGAAACTCCTATCTCCAATAAACCACCAGAAAACCGGAAGTGGCGCTGTAGCTCAAGTGGTAGAGCGCTCGCCTTGAGCTGAAGAGCTGAGGGACAGCGCCCAGGCCCAGAATTCAAGCCCCACAACCGACCAAAAAAAAAATAATAATGTCAAAGCACCTCACTTGCTACGTCAAGAAACACAACACCAGGTGCAAGGGGAAATGAGATGAAACTAACCCACTCACTTATGCAAAATTAGGTAAATTTTACAATTACAACACCATATGTGAAAGTTATTATTTTCCTACCTTCCTCATGGGGGAAAGAGGGGAAGGGAAGCAGGAAAGGAGGGAGGGAGTGTGTGTGTGTGCGTGCATGCACACATGCACGCGTGCATGCAAGCTCTCATGGGTCCTGAGGCTTGAACTCAGAGCCTGGGTGCTGAACCTGAGCTTCTGTGCTTAAGGCTAGAGCTCTACCACTTGAGCCATACCTCTACTTCCAGCTTTTTGGTGGATTTCAGGTGTAAGCACCAGCAACTTGCATGGGATTATTAACTAGTGTGACTATCAAGGGGATTTCTGAATAGCATGAATCTATTCTTAGTATATTTCACAACAAACAGTGATACTCCTCATATTAATTACACCACACAGCTACCATAACAAAATTTGTGATTGACATACAAATTTTACATACTGCAATCTCAGCCTTGAAGCCAGGTAGAAATATATTTAAGAACTGTTTAGCTGGCACCAGTTGCTCACGCCTGTAATCCTAGCTACTCAGGAGGCTGAGATTTGAGGATCACAGTTCAAAGCCAGCCCAGGCAGGAAAGTCCATGAGACTCATTTCAAATTAGCCATCAGAAGAAAACTGAAAGTGGTGCTGTGTTTCAAGTGGTAGAGCACTCACCTTGAGCTGAAGAGCTCAGGGACAGCACCCAGCCCAGAGTTCAAACCCCACAACCAAACCAAACAAAAACAGAACTTGTTAGGTCAGAACACAATGGCACTTCCTATAGCACTTACTAGCTTCTAGGTACCACCTCCAACACCTTACATATGGATACTTCCTCCCAGCAAACCTCTAAGGTAAGTATAACGATTGATAACTCATTAAACAGATAAATGCAGAAACTGCAAGACAGTGAGATTAAATAATCTGCTAAAGGTCCGTCATCTGCAATTTAAACAAGAGTTCTAGGACTGTGCTTGTGACTGTTAGACACATTACTTTGGAAATGGAGTATCACCATATTTTCAAATGTGGTCAATTAGAAATTTTTTCTTTATAAATGAAGAAGGTATATAACTAATATATATCACAACTATTACTCATTGGACTCTTGCTAAGAAAAAGGCTCCATTAATTACTTCATAAAATTCATATTGCTATTCAAGAAAATGTATTTCTTCTACGCAAAAAAATGAATGCTTCCTCCGATAAAGTAAAACTTGTTCATGTGTTTATGCACACCACTTTACAGACCTGCTCTTGGCTCAACCTCACTTCGTTAACACGTTTACAGGATACTCTTGTTTTTTCCTCTTAGAAGTGCAATACCACAAAACACATGCATACACAGTCACAAAAACTAACGGATTTTATATCTATAGGTCTAGAATAAGTATAATAGCTAGAAACGCAAAGAATGAAAAATAGGTTAAGTGTCTTTTCTGTACCCCTTCAGTGGCACATAAATTATATGTGATAATAGTACATGAAATTTGGCAGTAAACCACAGGTTACTGAAGGCAATATATGAATAGATTTCCCAAACTGCTTGAAATCTCTCTCAGCTGAGGATGAAGAATCATGGTAAGAGTCAAACAACTTATGGTCACAGACACAGTAAAAGGTCATTTCATCTAACCATCTAACTCAAGTTTAAATGTCCTATAAAACATTCCTTGGCAAGTATAAAACTAGCAATTCAAGACAGCTCTGCCTCACTGTTAAATGAATCTCTGACCCTACCCTTTCTACTACCTCTATATTTTTGAGCCTGTTTCATCTACCTAATCTAACTAATTCAACACCTACCACTAAAAACCACAATGAAGTCAAATCCTTTTCTGTAAGTGGGAGATACTTAAATTACCTGAAGATTTCATCACTGCCAACTTTCATAGCATTCTTTTCTTTTTTTTTAATCTCTAGCCAATTGCCTTCTTCCCCACATCTTATCCCTGTAACCCTGTAACTAGCTTGGTCTCTCTCAACCTGGTTACACTGCTCAAAGTCTCCTGATATAGAAAAACAAACACAATATCCAAACCACAGGGGCCAAAGGGGTGCTGCTCAAAATGTACTTGTCACTCACTCAGAACTATTTGTTTTTGAATGAAAGGGAAAAATAAGTCTTTTTTTATTGCTAAATATGATTCATTAATAGAACCAAGAATCATAAGAACTATTCTCATAAAAACTATTCTGTCAGTCCTACTTTACTACTGACTTGCTAGTACCAGCAATATTCATCCCAAACCCTGAAAGCCAATCTATACAATAGGCCTGACTCTTCACCTTTGAATAGACTTTTAAATAGCTTTGTTTTAAAACTC